TTTTTTTTTTTTTGTAGCCATTATCTCTATTTAGATTGTTAGGGTGTTTTTGTATCTCTATGGCTTCTCTATACTTGCTTGAAAAGTATAATGTAATGTTGGCTATTGTGGTCGTTTTGTCAAACAGTATTTGATGTCCTGTTTCGATGTTGTGTTCTAATAATGCCGACTGCGTGACGTACTTTAGCCTGACATCACATTGGTGTTCTATAGTATACATTGGAGAAACCGGGAGAATGGTCAACCTGCGGATGCCACGCAGTCGGCATTATCAGAACACAACATCGAAACGGAACATCAAATTGTTTGACAAAACGACCACAATAGCCAATATTACATCATACTTTTCAAGAAAGTATAGAGGAACCATAGAGATACAAAAATCCTACCAATCTAAATAGAGATAACGGCTAGAACATAAATAAAATATGGAAGACCATTCTCCCGGTTATTGAAGATCGTCCAATTCCATTACCTCCCCCCTCTCCCACCCACAATTCTCTTCTCCCCCCCACCCCACCACCACTCCAACAAGCAGCGTAACATAAAAGATTCGGCCTAGAGGAATAGCTCAGTATCAGGCTGCTCCTCGCTCTGATGAAGTGGATTACAAGATTCACGAAACGTTGGCATTCCAAGAATGAATCTGGACACGGAAAAAACCCGCGAAACGCATTATCTTTATATAGAAAGCACCCGTGGAAGCCTCAAGAATATTATCAAATTATAGTTATTATAGTTATTATAACCATAAAAAAGATTGAAATTGTCATAAAAATGATTCAAATTACTGTAATCTTATAGTCACACATTTTTTTAAACATATCCCACAAACGACTATAAGATCATAATAATTTGAATCATTTTTATGATTATAATAACTGTAATTATATATAGTTATTTTAGGCTGTCAACTATTGTATATACATTCGTTGCTGGAACTATACATATGGTTATTATTAGATTATTATCTGTATTATCTGCATGGGTTACCTCAATGTAAACCTCCTCAATCCGTCTGATCCCAACTCTCAGCATCTACACTTCCCATTGTTCCATCTTTCTTTATCCCAGCTCATCCATGAACCTACCCGCGTTACCTCCAATACCTCATCCATTATTGACTTAATCATGGTCTCGTCCTCTGTCCACGTCATCAAGTCCAGCGTCTGCTCCGATATCCCTATCAACAATCATTTTGTCATCTGCGCTGTGCTTCGCCTTGACCGGCCCCGTAAATGTTCACGTATCTCTCTCGCGAAACTTGCGATCTATCGATTTGTCTCGTCTTGACCTTGAGTTAGTTCGAGTTGATTGGTTCCCTGTTTATTGCGAGTCGCATGTTGATGAAAAGGTTGCTTATCTTACATCTTCACTAACTTCCGTTTTCGACCGCCTTGCCCCGCTAGTAAGCGTCAGACAAGACCGCCTGCACCTTGGCTCAATGCTGCGATTCGTAAATTAATCTCCTTGAACCATCACGCCTTGAATAGATTTTGCCAAACCCGACTCGAGACCGATTGGCTTCGTTTCTGCAAGTTGCGTAAGCGCACGACGACTGCGATCCGTCGTGAAAAGAGGTCATTCCTATCTTCCTCCCTCGTCTCCACCTCCCCTCGTGATTTTGGTGTAACCTTTCCTCTTTTGGTACCATTTCATCCTCCTCTCCCACTATATTTACTCATCTTCTTGATCCCTCCCTCCTCAATAATCATTTTATTGATTCTCTTTCCTCTTTCTCCTCTACATCTTCTATCTCTCCTCTCCTTTCTGTTTCACGTATTGTCTCTAGTTTTTTCACTTTCAATCCTATCACATCTGCGGAACTCCTCAACATTCTTAAGCATATCAAGCTTACTTCCGCGGGTCCCTACGACCTATCCGGTCGTATGCTCCTCCTCTGTCTTCCCCAATGCCTAGAGCCTCTCCTATACGTCCTCAATTACTCCCTGGTATCTAATACCTTCCCTAATTCCTGAAAACAAGCTGTTGTTTTTCCCATCCCTAAAATCTGGAACCCCTCCTCATCCTCTTCATTTCGTCCCATATCCATCCCCCCTTTTCTTTCCAAGCTTGTTGAGCAGATTTGTTTCAGACAGCTGAAAGCGTATTTTAATTCTATTAAAGTTATCTCTCTCATCCGCTCTTTTCTGGATGTACGCAACGGGTTCTCCTTTTTATCCATCGCCTTCCTTCTCCACTGTTCGCTCTGTTTCCTAGGATGTCCCTTAAGGTTCCATTCTCGGTCCCTTGTTATTCACCCTATTCACTCCTGATCTACCCTCCGTTCCCATAACCTCTGAAATTCTTATGTATGCTGATGACGTTATCCTCCAGACCCTCTTTGTTTCCGCTGATTTGTCCTCGGTCGAATTATCTCTTAATTCTGATCTTTGCTCCATTTCTGAGTGGGCCTCCTCAAACTCTCTTCACCTAAACCCCTCAAAATCCTCCTTACTCATTGCCGGTTTCTTCTCTTTGTTTTCTCATCTATCTCATCTTTCTCTATCTCTCTAAATTCAGTACCTATTCCATGTTCGTCGTCCATTAAAATATTAAATGTCCATTTTGATTCTGCTTGAACTTTTAGAAATCACGTATCCGTCAAATGTCGTGCCACGTTTCTTCATCTTCGCCTGCTTTATCCTTTTCGCTACATCCTTATTACCTCAAACGTTTTAGTATCCCAACTACTCATAATCTCTATTTTTGACTATGCTAACGTTGTTTACACTGCTTTAACTCAAAAACTGTTATTACGCACTCAGAGCATACAAAATTCCTGTCTTCGTTTCTCCTATGACGCTCGCAAATTCGATCATTTATCCCCTCTGTTTTCTCGTTCCAGCTGGTTAGTGATTTACCATCGCTTCACTCATCATCTTTGTCGTCTCGTTTTTCGTGTACTTCATTCCAATACCCCTTCCTACCTTCGCAATTTTTTAAATCTCAATTCTGAGCTCCACTCTCATGACTTCCACCTTACTCGTTATCATGATTGCTTATCCTTTCCCGTACATCACTCAGTCAAATTTCGTGCTTCTTTCTCCTACATTGCCGTTAAGTCATACAATGTACTACCCCCCCACCCTCTTATCCGCTCTTCCTCTTCTCTCTCCTCTTTTCGATCGGCTATTGCTCGTTTCCTATCTTCTACGGATCGTTGAAGAATAGAAACAAAATTAAATTGCGGTTTTGCGATTCTTTCTCTCGCACTTGCGTCGCAGTATGTTTTAATCTGTTTCCATCATATATTTATTTTGTACTTATTATTGTTTTTTCTTTATTGTAATTATGGCTGTATTTCAGTTTTTGCGTATTCTGCACTTATTATTATCTTCTTTTCATATGTGATTAAGGCTGTATTCAGTTTTGCGTATTTTGCATTTATTATTGTCTTCCTTTTTATTATAATTAAGGCTGTATGCAGTTCTGCGTTTGTTTATTTTGTATTGAATTCTTATCACCTTTTGATTTTATCCTGTGACTCTCTTTCTGGCAGGCGTTAGAGCAGCAGATTTGCTGGTGCCTCACCTTTTGTGCACATGTATTGTATTGTATTTTAATTTTGTACACATTGCACAATAAATTAAATTAAATTACTAATATTATACACAATAATCATAATAAGTAATTATAGTTACAAATACCAAACATTTTTCTCTCAGTTCTTAAGAACTCATGACAGTCCAATAATACAAAAAAATAAAAAATATAGCAAAAAAATTAATGGTTTGCAGTTTATATTGTAACTGAAAACGTTTTAAACAAGTAATTAATAAATTAACACAAGTTATTCAGATGTTCTTGTATAATATGAACTTAATTAGCATAATTAATTTGGCTCAAAAATAATGTTACGTGTTCATTTCATCGTGTCTAATTTAATTGTTGACTTAAAAAAATAGTATAATTGCATAATGCTGCACTTCATTTAACTATTTTCATTTCCTTGTATAAAGGATGTAATAGAAAATGCAACAAGTGGTCTCAATGACCATCTAATATAGCAAATGATTTCAGTAAATGGTGCTGTTACAGTTTCAATAAATAGTACTGTTACATATCAAAGAATTGACTATAAGCATAAGTTGTTATACATCTATAACATCTATAACATCTATAACATATATCAGTACATCTATATTTATGCATACTGCATACTTATACTGCACTGCAGTTAAGTGTACAGTTATATTTGAGTAGGAATGTTCGAAATAATACATTCAAGTTTCCTCGTACAAGTTAAGACGACTTATTGCAGGTTTTCAGCTGTGATAGAGGAAGTTTTACAAGAAGTATGTTTAGTAGAGTTTATTAGTTCTGTATGCATAATATGTCTACTTGAATACTACTGTATAGTGGTGCGCTAATATATACTGTATATTTAAAACAATAGATAAAAGATAACTAGTAGCGCGAGAAAATTATATTTACTATTAACAATTTAATAGGACTGGAAAGACGACAATAAGATTAGCTTAGCAACTTATTTCTTGCTCTTTATTTCATTCTGTTTCAATGTATACATATTGTGCTATATTGGCGAACTTCTCATGGAAAAGGTACAGCTATGTTTTACAGATTTTTAAATTAATCACTGATTATAATCATATGATCGTTTGTGACCCACGTTGCAGAGCATTGAAATTGGATCAATGTGTTATATGATCAATTGGTATCAATTATCACCAAGATCTGTTCGCAGTCTTATATTGATAATCGCTATGTCCAGCCATCCTATAAAACTTACAGCTGGTAGAATGGCAAATCTGTCATTAACGACTTTTGGAAACGTGAGGCATTACATACATTTCACTTCTAACTTACTACGTTCTATTTCTCCTTCCGTTTTAAAACAAAATTCGCACTCAGAGGGAAAAAAATATTTTTTAATAGGCAATTAGTACTTATAAAAATTTTATATGTACAATTAATGTACATAGTTAAATATGATCAATTATGTACATTAATAAATGAATTATTTTACATTTATTGTAGCTAAAGCTAAATGGTTATGAGAATTTATCACTTCTCACATTTAACTTTTGCAATAATTATAATGTAGCTTATTAAACTATATATATGTATATACTAATTCTGCATATAAAACTTATTTATCACTTATATAGATGTTACTACTATATTTTTTTATGAATACAACAATCCTACCGAAAAAAATCAATATTGAAGAATTATTTAATGATACTTTTAGATATCAAATCTAACAATAATTTAATTTTTCGGAATTATAAAAAGCTAAATTAAAAAATATCATTTTAATATAATTTTTTAGGTACTAAAAACGAGCGTGGCGTATCTGAGCTTCCTGCGGACATTAGCTATGTAAATATGATTGCAATTACATAAAATATATTAAGAAATGTATTTAATTCTATCTAGTTAATCTGTAGAACGTAGAGAATCTTAATATATATATATAATAATATTATTTAGAATATTATATCAACATCAAATATCTACATAAGTCACATTCTTTCCATGTTAACCATATTGTTGAGTCATCCACGCACAAACAATTTATAATCCCATTTTTTATTTTTTTAATCCACGCTAACAATTTAAATTTAACAATTAAATAAAGCAGAAAATGTTAAACTATGAACAGATGTCAAATTTTATCAAACCTGATTTCTCAAATAACGAATTAAAGTCGATTAGAAAAATTCAAATAGAACGACAAAACTGCAATTTCTATGATTTGAAATCGACATAATTTTAGATGTAAAATGTGGTTTATACGATCACTTCCCGATTAATAGTGTGCAAATGAACTGTCAGACTTACTATCAGTTAGCATTGCAAAAAAGTCTGCAATGTCAGCGCAAGCGCACGTCTCGCAACCTTGCGATCAATGCCGCGCGTCCGTTTGGTCTACTCTTCTTGCAGTCTTTGGCAGAATCTGTCACCGCAAACATGTCCAGTACACGCGATAAGTCCGCCAGATTACGTAACTCCAATTATCAGCAAGACATTCGATATGTTTTCAAGTTGAACAACTGGATTATGGGGTCGCTCGGTATTTGGCCAATCGCGATACGAGGCATTGGAAAACACATGTCCAAGATTGCAATCGCGATCTTTAATTTTGCGTTGAGCTTTGCGATAGTGCCTTGCGCTCTGCATATCATTTATGATCAAAAGAATTTCGACCTAAGGCTGCGCCTAAGTGGTCTTCTAGCATTCTGTCTTACAGCAATGATAAAATATTGCATCTTCGTGATACATCGTCCTGAGATACATCGTTGCATCGAACACGTGAAGAATGATTGGTGGCAGGTCGGTGTTGCTAATAACATACCATGTTAATGTGGAGGTTATTACAAGGTACTAAAAAAATTATTTGAGTAAAAAAGAGTAGAAACACATGATTAAAAAGTGATCTTGATTTTAAATTAATTCGATCTTGTGAACTTACTACCGTTGTTTAAAAAGTACATATATTTTGTGCATTAGATCATAATAATATATTTGTGTGTTTACATATTTAATATAATGATATAAATCAAAATATACGATTAATTAATATTTTCTCCACGTTGCACAGCTAAAACTTTAATTCAAAGAAAAATTAGATTACAAAATTGGTAAATGCTGATATTTCATCTATCTCGATAAATAAAAGTTACTAGCAACATTGTGACAGGTGACATTCAAATCTGATCGCGAACTGATGCTGAAGTACGCTACCACCGGTCGCAATCTGACGATAATCGGCATGTGTTTCATGTACACTGCTGGCATCATTTACCACTTGATTCTACCGTTCTGTGTTGAGCACAAAATCGACAATCAAACCATCAGACCGCTCGTGTATCCGACCTATAGTAAATTTACTCAATCACAAATTAGTCCAATATACGAAATCGTGTATGTGGCTCATTGTATGTGCGGATATACTATATACTCAGTGACAGTTGGTGCCTGCGGATTGGCTGCTTTGTTCGTTACCCATGCATGTGGCCAAATCCAAATACTTATATCACAACTAGAAGATCTATTAGCTGGTGAAAGATTCAAACAAAGCCCGAATGTTCATTATCAAATCGCTGCCATCGTAAGAAATCACGTAAAAATAATAAAGTACGATATAACAATCCATGTAAACAATTTAATTAAAATTTCGGAATAATTTATCAAAATTAAAAATAAAAAATTACTGTTAAAAATTTAATTAATTTTTAACTCAATTCATAAATAAAATTTGTTTAATTCGGAACACATTTATTCTACAATTCGATAAGTAGTAGTTGATAAATATAGCAAAAGAAAAAATTTCTAGTTTAATTTATAATACCATTGTTAACATTACTACATAAGTTTATATAATTTATTTAATTATTATTGTTCCACTGTATTATATGTGAAAAAGATAAGAAGATAAATGCAACAGGTGAGCTCAACTAATCTTCAATCCATTTCAGTAGGCAGTACCGTTGCGTGTCATACAATACGCAGACTATAAGCATACGCTATTATATGTATATCAGCCTAGTTATATGTTATACTTGCACCGTATACCAACTCTGAATATATATTGAGTTGGAACAAAAGCGTAACGCTACAAACTTTAAATTCAAGCTAATGTACTGTCATAAAAAAATTAACGAAATTTAAATTTAAAAACATAACTTTGAAGTTTAAAATCTCTACTTTCGAAAGGTTACTATGTCTTGAGTTTCTGTAAGTTTGATAATTTTGGCATACACAAATCTAGACAAAATGGGAATTTCTTCTCACTTTATGAGCTTATCACGTGGCCAAAAAACTTCAAAACTTCAGTATTTTAACCTAAAAATTTAAAATTTTTCCTACAAAATCGTTTTTAAAAATTTTCCTAACATTTTTTACTGAGTTATTATGGATTAAATAAAAAAAAGAACTTTGATTATTCATATCTTTGTCGAAAATGATCGTACCGTAATGCAAGTTTAAAAAACAGATTTTTACAAATAACTTTGCTTTATCAAATGGCAGGTATATAACGGTATATAGTTGTCAAATTTTGATAAAAATATATAGACATAATATAAATAAAATAACATTATATATTATAACTTTTGTTCCAACTTAATACAACTCATTATAATTAAAATAAGTGAAGCAATGCATTCTGTCTCATATAAACTAGAATAACTTATTCCAGGTTTGCGGCGAAAGTGGAAGAAGTTTTACAAGAAGTGTGTTTAGTAGAATTCACTAGTTCTGTATGCACGATATGTCTACTCGAATACTATTGTATAGCGGTGCGCTAACATATACTAAAGGAAAAAAGAATTCAATAACTCTTAACGAATTACAAAATTATATGTGCTATTTAAAATTTGATAGGATTGGACAGCGGACGACAGACTTAGTTTTGCAACTTTTTCTCTTCTCCTTGTGTCATTCTGTTTCAATATTTACATATTATGTTACATCGGTGAGCTTCTTATAGAAAAGGTATACTGTTTCTTTGTTTCTTTGTTCAGACACGCTACGTTTAATTTCGTTAATCACAACTGAGTAATCGTCCGCGACTCATGATTTTGCAGAGCACTCAGATTGGATCAATATGCTATATGATTAATTGGTATCAACTATCGCCAATATCAGCTCGCAGTCTTATATTGATAATAGCGATGTCCAGCCACCCTATAAAACTTTCTGCTGGTAGAATGGTAGACCTGTCATTAAAATCTTTTAAAAGTGTGAGGCATATACATTTATTAATTTCATTTCTATGTTGTGACTTCCATTCTTTCAATTTTAAAATAAAATTTGTAATAATTCTACGAAAATATCAATATCTTCAAAATTATTTGATAATATTGCTATGTAACAAACGTAGCAATAGATTCAATCTAAAAGTTGCAAAAATCTAATTACGGCTGGAGAAATATCATCATAAAAATATAATCTTTTTTATAATAATATAATCTCTTTTTATTAGGTACTGCAAACTAGCCTGGCATACTTGAGCTTCCTACGGACATTAGTCATGTAAATTATAATGTGACATATGTTAAAAAATATTTTTAATTTAATCTAGTTTATTAGTTCAGCATAGAAGAAAATTTTCGTATAGATGTAATGTATGATATTACTCATATTACTGACAGAATAAAACATTTAAGTCCATATATCAGGTGTGCACATCTTCACTTTTCTTATCCCATTGGAGTCGTTACCTCTATTAAGTCAGCAGGACCAAATGAGTAGAATCAATCCGGACCTATTTAATTTTTTTGTACTCATTTTGTACTAATTTGTACCATCAATAAAAATTTTGTACCCTGTGTCGTTTTGGGGAAAAAAAAAAAAAATCGTGTTAGTTTAATATTGAGCTAGCAGAAAAAAAAAGAAACAAAGATACAAATGAAAAGAACTGAATTTATGCTAATTTGTATCAGCAAGAAAAAGTTAATATATTGATCCATTCTTTGAAAAACAACCCCCGATTAAACTTACCTATTACGCTCAAAATTAAAGTTTCGCCGTGAACAGAATCAATCGATACTCCTACAATCAATGAGGTATAATTCGTAATATCAAAATAGAAAATTTCAGATTTTGAACCCTTGCCGCTCCTTCAAAAACTACCCCCGATCCCTATTTTAGATTCAAGAGTAAAGTACCCTTTGCCATGAACAGAATCAGTCGATATTTTCAAAATCGGGAAACTATAATTTGTACCACCAAAATGTAAGGTTTCAGATTTTGTACCCTCGCCGTTCCCCTTCGGAAACTACTCCCGACCCAAATTTAGGCCCAAGAGAGTATAAAGTACCCTTCGCCATGAACAGAATTAGCCGATACTCTTACAATCGAGAATCTATGATTTGTACCATCAAAATATAAAGCTTCAGTTTTTGTACTTCCGCCGTTCTTTCGGAAACTACTTCTAATCTCTATTAGATTCAAGAGTAAAATACAATTATAAAATCTGAAACTTTATATTTTGATGTTACAAATTATACGCTCTCGATTGTAGGAGTATCGACTAATTCTGTTCACGGCGAAGGATACTTTGCTCTTAACCCTAATAGGAGTTAGGAATAGTTTCCGAAGGAACAGCGGAGGTATAAAATCTGAAACTTTACATTTTGATGGTATAACAAATTACACCGATTGTAGGAGTATCGACTGAATCTGTTCATGGTACTTTACTCTTGAACGTAATAAAGTTAAATTCAATCGGGGATTGTTTTTCGAAAAATGGATTAATATATTAACTTTCTTTTGCTGGTACAAATTAATACAAATTCAGTTCTTTTTATTTGTACCTTTATTTTTTTTATTGTTCTTTTTTTTATGTGGTTCTACTAGCTTAATATTAAATTACCAGCG